AATTCCATTACACCACCAGCAATAACAGAAAAAAAATATAAAGATATTAAAAATTTACTACCTTACATCTCGCCCGAAATATTTTAAGTCACTCAAGATTCAAAATCCCATTTCCGAAAGATGAAAAGAAAATCAGAAATGATAAAAATTAATTACTTAGAAAATATTTTCTAATTTATTCAAACGCAAACCTCTAAATATTTCGAAACGAGAAATGTATGACTTAGGTCTCTTTCACTAAAGGAAAAATTGCTTTTTTAACAATGAAATAAATTAATTTATCAAAAATAAGTTTTGTTGCTGTATAATATAATTTTACTACAAATTTTGATATGTTAGATATTTTTTTTATATATTATTTTATTAATAAATCGCGACCACGAAACGATATCAGACTGCGGTTACGTCTAGCTTGCTTCTAAAGTAGGCAATCGTCAGACGCTTGCGTCTGGCACGTTCGATAACCGCCTTTAGAAAAACATGTGCATTGCCGTCCATTGTATCATGCTGTGTTCAGGCAAACGAACTCACTCGCCTTCCACTTCGATCAAATTCGCGTTCGTATTCGTGTCAATTATTACACGAGTATAGCGTTAATAAATAAGCACGAATTTCTTCGAAGTGGGGGACGACATGCATTCGTTTGTTTGGTCCGAACACACCATCACTGCAAATGCGTCTGACGCATGCGTGTTGCTGTTGCGTCCGCGTCAGACGTACGCGTCTGGCGTTCGCCTGCGTCAGCAGCAGTCTAGACGTAAACGCATTGCAGTTAGTTTCAATAATAATACGGACATACATGACTGCAAAATTTCAATTTTCTTCCGAGGAGGACGAAAAATTAATAGAAAATGTCGCGAATTACCCTTTCCTTTATAACATATGCGATGAAAGTTATAAGAATCATGAACTAAAAGAAAACGTTTGGAAAGAAATATCATATGAATTGAAAAGAACAGGTAAGTATTCGATAATTATATTTCTTTTGATAATAAATAAAGTTAGTGATAAACACAGATTAATTGATCTTCGAGTAATGCGGGAATTAGGGACACAGGCATCCCGCGTAGCTGAGAATTTAGTAGCTGAAGAAAATAGCTCTCCAAAAATTTAATTATTCAATAATCTATTGAGCTAACTGGAACCTTATTTTACATACATATATTATATAATATAATTATATATATAATATATTATATATATAATTAATAATATGTATATATATATATATATATATTACTTTATTCTTGTAATAAAATAAGTTAGAGAAAAGAAATCTTATTAAGAAAATTATACTGGTATCCGAGAAAACTCATAACATTCAATCACATATAACTAAATTCACAACTATAACGAAATTGTTCGAGAGCCAACTATATTTGTTCAAGTTATGCTGATAAAAGTTATACTTGTTTATCATCGCACTGAATTTCGCAATGTATTAAAATACATCTGTCCCGAACTTCGAAATATTAGTGAAATCACTTGAGCTAAGGCAAGAATAACACATTATTTGTGTGTGTGTGTGTATGTTCATTTTATAATTGTGCTATGCAGATGTCATTCGTATTGTGAATGATTAAATTTGTAATTTTTGGTAGTAGTTCTATTCCAGAATAAAATATTCGGAAATCCTGAACTAAAATTGCAAAGGCATTTTCAGATACCCTTCTGGTATCGCATAATCCAAAATTGTAATTTTTTTTTCGTGGTATTTCGTGTAAGTTGATTTTTAAAATACATAGTATCATTATAATCTTATAATAGGGAAAAAAAATTTTCTTAAACGAATTTATCATGGATTTGTCGAAAATGTCACCGTAAGAATCTAAAGAAGTACTACATGAATCATTTATATAATTATATTAATTATATAATAAACATTTCTCCAGCAAGAAATCTATAAAAAAATATGTTATCAATTTATTTTAGCTGCTGACTGTAAAAAAAGATGGCGAAATATTAGAGATACATTTATGAAAATAAAACGTGGTAACAAACATGGCAAGGGGTCGACAGCGAAACCGAAATCCAAATGGCCATTATTGCAGCAATTAGGTTTCTTAGACAATGTAACTTCTGAGAGAAGGTAAATATCTTGTGTGTGCATAATATAAGTCCTAAAATACAATAATTTAACCACATTATTTTATAATAGTAATAGTAATATGGATGATTTGCGAGAGGATTCAGAAAACAGTATCGAAGAAAAAGTTTCAATAGAAACATCAACAATTGCTCCGACATCACATGTACACCTTTTGAGAAAAAGAAAATTACACCATACACAAAACACAAATGTAACGAAAAAATTCAAACACGAAATAACTAAAATTTTAGACTTACTAGAAAAAAGAGCTCTTGAAAGACAAACACTAATAGAAAATATTAATAAAATAATAGTAGAAGATACCGATCCAGTTTGTACATTTTTCAAAAGTATGGCGATAACCGTAAAAACATTTCCATCACATTTAATTGCAGAGGCAAAATATCGAGTTTTTGAAATAATCAATGAATTAGAAAAAAAGCCATTAGAACAATAGCGTGTGATATAAGTGAAATAAAATTATTTTTAAATAATTAATTTACCTGAATTTTTTAAAAATCAAATGTTTCTTGAGTCCAATTTATCATCAATAAGATTTAAAACAAAATCAATTTGTTTTTTATTTAATTTAATCGTAAACTTTTATTTGTATTTTCTGAAAGAATTAAAAGAATTTCCTTATCTCCTTTAAAAGATTTCTTTCATATTCTCAATCTATTAAACTCTCTCTTTTGTGTGTGTGTATGTGTGTGAGTGTGTGTGTGCGCGCGTGCGTGTACGTGCGTGTGATTTTCTCTCTTTCTCGCTCTCGCTCTCGCTTTCATAGAAAATTCTATCTGCGAGTGAATATTGCGTGTAGCCGAAAATTTTTAATGCATATATCGAGATACATTTGATACGTATAAGAAATACTACTTTAATTACAATGCGAATAATATGTATCTATATACCTGTACGATACATTAACTATAAAACAAATTATTAAGTTTATAGTCATTATATATTGTCAATAGGTATTTATTTCACCAGTATCTGAGCATGAGAACAAATTTTTGATAATGGATACAAAAAATGTTTAACCTCAAAATTCTAAACTAAAAAATATCTCTTTTGTCTCACATTAACGATTCCTTATTTTATTTTAAGTTATTATAACTCTATATTCTATTTTATTACTTTAATGAACTATCAAAATTTTATCACTGAAAACAAAAACAGATTGAATAGAATGTAACAATTGATTTTAGAGTGGAAATAATTATAGAATATTCATTTATTAAACCACATTTTTGAAATATTGAAGTTGTATTCAAAATTTTGTCTTAATTTCAAAATGTGCTTTTTTACATTTAATATGTAAATATTTTTTGTATTTAACATGGTATCATTTGTATGACAAAAATTGATTTATGATGTCATTTTACTTAAAATTATAGTGAAGTTTATGCTTAAGATATTTTGTACTCAAATAGTTTGCAAAAGTAGTTTACACTCAAATTGGGAGGCAGAATTAAATTATTAGAAGAAATAAAAATCGCTTATAATTTTTAGATAAAAAGACTGGTCATTAATATATGGTCTTTGTTCAGAAGTCAGCAGAGAAGTATAAAATTCCACGGTGAAAGTGAAGATTATAAAAAATTTCTATCAAAAAAAATGAAATGTGAAACTTTGTTAAATTTAAAACATTAATAATAATAAAAATTCTAATGAACTTTCATAACAATAAAACTTGTACTTATATTAAATAAAATGAGAAATGCAAGAACTAAATTCTTATAAATACCAAAGCATATCTTGAATAATTGTGATATATTTAAGAAGAAAGAGAAAGAGAAAATAACTTTTGTTTGGTAATTATATCAATCAAGAAAGCAGCAGAAAAAAATATTTTTAATTATCTTTTTAATCCATACTCTAAAAATTATAATTTCTTTACATATAATAATATTACTTTGTTCTATCATTTTTTTCTTATGTTTTTTAAGTTAAGAAATAAGTAAATAGTAAATATTTATTATTTTATAACAATTACAATCATATTAATTTAAATGTTCTAAATGTTCTAAGATACAAACTTAAACAGTTTATACTTAGAGTATATACAATATACCCATAAAGCAGATTTCTATGTAAAGTATTATATGTATTTCAGTGGATGTATAAAAATGTCATTCTGTTTTTTGAAATATCAACTGAATTATATTACTTGACATCATCTGTATTTGTATAATGCAGAATGAATTAATGAAATTGTATAATGAACTAATATACAAAGTAAAAAGTAATTTTTTTGATATCAATTTAATATTAAACAAAAGAAAGTTCCAAAGCTCTCAAAACATCATACAAAAATGCAATGAATGAAAGGTCTATTTTGGTTCTTTTATGATTCTTATGTTTGATGTAAAAAAATCGCATGGGGTGAAACAATCTGATTTTCTCAAGTTTCTCCAGTTTCAGAACATAAGATACGAAGTCTCGTATGATATCTATTTTGCTTTTAGTTAATGCCCGCAATCATTGACCAAATACTGCAATTTTGTTTTGTACTGTCGGTAATATTAATAGTTGCATTAAGAGTTGTGAGAGGGCTCTAAGGTCTTGCAAACATGCAATACAGAAACTAAGATTAAATTTATGTTGTATCTTGTCTATGATTATCGTGCAACGAGGTTAGGAAATGTATAACGTTACTAGTTACTAAACATTTATGTCGACTATTTACTAATTTACTTAATTATTTATTATATCAAAACTTCCTTATATATCGTGTATCAATTAACATTCATCTTGTCCCTAAATATTTACATTTTTTTTTTAATGACTAGGTATATTTACAAGGTGTAATAAAACAGGAATGAACCTACCTCAATCTTCTCGATTGATTACCAAAAATCAAAGGCGTAGTTGTCAACAAATACATTTCATATTTAAAGAATGTATTTATGGAACATCATCAATATTATCATCTGAAGAAAAATCCACCGAGAAAAACGAAAGTGACGTTTCCTCAATAGATGATATATCAGAGCCTACGAATTGTTGCATGTCCGGATGCGCAAATTGTGTATGGATTCAATACGCAGAAAAATTGAGCGCCACTCTTGAAAAGAGCGATGTAGATATGCAAAAATTAATCCTGGATAAAGTACAGGATCCTAATATGAAAGCGTTTCTTTCCATGGAGCTCCGATTTAGAAATATTATTAAAAATTAAAGATACTGTATATAAAATACTGTATATATGTACATATATATTATACAATGTTGAAATTTTAGACAATAAATCCTTATGTTAATTTAATTGACTATTCATTACTTTTGTCTTGCAATTACGGTTTTTGAATAGCTTCCAATTACTATGTAATTGAAGTAGGCTATGAAAATGAAGCTATATGCGATATATTTCGTCTATGCTATATACACGTGCTATGTAGTTCTATATTATTTCTGGAAACTCTTATTGTTTCAAAGTCTTTTTTCTATATATAGATCAATGATCTGTCACAATTGCAAACTGTTTCATAATTACTCATCTTTTTTTCGCAGGTTTTACCTTGAATAATCAACTGCTTGAAATTTTCGAAACTACTGCAGCGCCACTTGCAAAGGTTTACCACATATTTCCAGATGGCGGTAGATGTACGAAATCAACTTGATTTTCCTATACCATTTACAATTGCAACAAAAATAACGAATATTTCAAGTGCCGAGTGTCTATTCGAGAACTTCGTATCTTTTATTGCTATTTATCCAACTTGTTCTGTTTACAAGATACCAGGACGTGATAACCAGTTTCTTCGTTAAAAAGTCAAAGAAACCCAAGCACCCATTGCTGTTATACAATCATTCGAAATTGTAAATTGAAATGCAAGATGTTCTTATTGATATATTTATAAATTTGACAAGTATGAGAAAAGGAATAAGGGATAAAAAAAGTATAGAAAAAGAATAAAATAACAATAAATACTATTTAGACTATGTGTTGAAAAGAAAACAGGATCGCGTGAATGATAATTTTGTATTTTCGTTTGATATGAGTCGAGTTTCAATCGACATCTGAAAACATTTCGGTGTTAGGAATGCGGCAAGACTTTCACGCTCTTTAATGAGACTAATTAAAATAAGTTTAGATTGATCAGCAACGTATGTTAGTACCGTTCGTACTGATAATCTAGTATTACAAGTATTTTTGCGCACCGCTTACATTACGTGCGCGCTTATTTACATTGCATACATATGTATAAAGCCACTTGTGCCGCTTACGCCAGTCAGGAGAATGTAGTGTGACACGTACTGACGTGTTGGCGAACGAGGAGGTGTACTTATATAGCGCTCTTTTTTTTCTATTTCTGCAGCTGGTAGCATGGAAATCAACGAAAAAATTCGGCAAACATACCATTCGATTTCTCCTATAATTAAGTCAGTTAGATTACTGCAACCTGAAAATTTCTAATCAATGTACTAATCAGGAAATTTCTTTTTGTCATAAACATAAACAGAGGAAACTATTCACAAAGCAAAAACAATATAGGTCACTCTTAGCATGAACGGATAATTATATAAATACGAATAGAAAAACAGTTTATGCCAAGATATTGAATATCATCGTTTCTTTACTAATCTTTACTAATCTTCTTGCTAGTCTAAATATATATTTCCATTATTGAAGAATTTTCTCTCTGTTTTCGTTCTAAGACTATGTGCTAAGAGAACGTAGGTAAACAAATCTTACAGCTCTAAGAGCACACGTGCAAACTATAGGCGTACGGAGTACAAAGTCGCTTGTTGCAACAAGCAAAATAATTTTACAGCGAGCAATTCTCCCTAGTCGTCAAACAAAATCAGTTTCAGAGTCGCGTAGAAGATCTTCTCAGAATTATTTGTGTATTTGCCATTTTCTATTTATCAAAAATACGGCACATTAGGCTATAGAAATATCGTTTTACAACAATCCAATTGTTCTTGCCAATAATACACATGCAACGAGTACCAGATCCCCTCGTACACGATGAAACTTACAATCTCGAACTCGTGAACCTTACATACACCATGGGCCTAAATTCGTGGTAAAAGTTAGGACGAATCTGTAATCCAAAATAGGAAATAGAAGCACTATGTCCGCGAGATGAATTTTTATTGCAATTTTTTATTTTATTTTTATTGTTTCATTAATGATATAAATGAAGCGAAATTTTATAGCTCCAAATAAAATGTTGGTAAAGTATAACAAAATTATGTTAGAGACAGTCTTAGTTTAGAAAACTGGAAATTTATTAAGTATATCTGTATTTCATCAATTCTAGATTGACCAGAAATGAACAAATGATTAAATGTTACTTTATACGTGAAAATCAGACCTCGTTTGGAATAAAATGTAACATACCACAAATAAATGGTTTAAAATTTAATTTCTTCGAAAACAAATCTCTAAATGGAAAAATTTTATTCTGTACTTTCTAATAACATATTATAAAATAATCTTTTATTACTTGTCTACTGATATGAAAATTTATGTTATATTTAAGAAATGTTCAAATTTGATTTTCTCGAAAATCTCATTTTGAAGCTTTCGTTTGTACCATAAAATCAAAGTTAGACTCATAGTATATTCTGGAATAGCATATAGAGAGTAGTATATATAATGGATATAAGTATAGAGAGTAGTATATATA